AGGGAGGAACAGCTGACCCTCCTAAAACAAAGACCTCTAGATAGGCTTACTAGATTCACCAGAAGGGCAAGTAGTGGGGAAGGGCTGGGAGTGCGGACAACACAGCAGACAGTAGCAGGGATATCAAAGTATAAGGGCTCTATTGTGGGGAGGGAGGCTATGGGAGGGTGTTATCTGGGAAGTGGGTGTAAAATTAAATAAATAAATGAATAAATAAAAATGATTCTTCAAAGCATAAAAACTTGCTCCTTAATAATTGGTGGATGTGAAAAACATTACCATTGAAATCTACCCGATGACTTTATATCCATGCTTAGATGCCAAAGAGCTCAGAAAGTAACTGAGTGTGACTAGTAATAATCAGATATATAGAGATTAGAAACGCATGTGTAAACATCTTAATGTCAATTGCATTGAAAATGAATTTTTCTGTATGAAACTGTGTATTTTAATAATGAAATGGAGATCTTTTTTAAAGGTTAAAAAGAGTTTATATATAATAGGGGCTGGAGAGATGGCTCAGCGGTTAAGAACACTGGTTGTTCTTGCAGAAGATGTGGGTTAGAATCCCAGAACCCACATGGCAGCTAACAACAGTCTTTAATTCCTTACCTACATGCAGGCAATGCACGCATATACATAAAATAAAATTTAAAAAACAATAAAATAAAATATTTAAAAGTTTGTATATGATTAATGCTGCAGATTATATAGATAGTTCATAATATGATAAAGAAGGCCTCAAGAGGAGCGCAAAATAATTGTATAAGGTAATCTACATTAGAATAAGTAAGACAGTGCAGACAAATGAAGGCTGTTATGAAAAGGGTGAGTGTGGGAGGAAAGTTACCAAGTGGGAGAGATGGGAATAGAGCATCTTGTAATACTGAGACAGGAACACATAAGAATAGAGAGCAAGGACTCTTCCCTAAACATGTTGAAGACAGGAGGCATGATTACTTCTGAATTATGAAGTACATTGCATTGTGTGAATGTTTAAGGTTGAAGTTATGTTGCTCTACTTATGGGTTACAATATTATTACACAAGAACTGAGATTTCAAAGACAAAGAAACAGGTACTGTAGTTCTAGGAAAACAACATACACATGTGAAATAAAATAAATTAACTAAAAGAAGATGCATATTTTATAATAACATCCGTAGTCAAGACTCAGATGCTACAGTAGAAGATGAGTGGGAATGAGAAAAGGGTTTATGGGTGTCTGCTTCGGCAAGGGTACAAGAGCAACATTTTACTTTACCATGTTGCCCTAACAAATTGTTTCCATCTGTTGATTGATTTCAGCCCAGAAAATACTTTGGAGAAAAATGAAATTTGTATGTGATATAGCATATATTAGAGTATTATTAGTCTCAATTTTAATTAAAATAGCATCATTGGTATGATATTCTAAGAGCATTTGCATGATTTTAAGCACAGTGTGTTAAGGCTAGAGTTTTAATATGGCATTTCCTTGAAAGTATCAGATAATATCATTACTCAAATAAATATAGACACAATATTATATACATTCTTGCCCATTGGAGATTGAACTGCAAGAAAGTCTTTAGTTTCTTCAAAACTAAACCTGCTCTTACCAGATGATCTAGGAATCTTATTCCCCTGGCCACTACTCAATGGAGTTAAAATTTTTGATCACACAAAATCCTGAACTTGACTATTGATGGTAGCATTATTCATAGGTGCCAAAACTTGATATATCCAAATGTTTTTATTTCTGGGAATAAACTGTGGTAAATCCAGATGGCAGAATCTTACTCAGGGCTGATAGAAAATGAGGCTTAAAGACACGAAGACATGGAGTAGAATTTGGAGCACATCCCTGAGGGAGAGCAATCGGTCTGCAAAGCAGCATGTCATGTGATTCTAGCAGAGTGATATTCTGCAATAGTCAAAACTGGACACAGTGAGAAGAGCAGTGATTGCCACAGATCATTCAGGAACATGAATAATACACTGGATGACACTGGAGTGGCATGCACGTGTCATTAAATAGTTGGTAGCACCATAGAATATGCAACACCAGAATTGTGGTGATCATGACGCCACTGTTGGTCAATTGTAGTGAAGGCACCCCAATACTGGTGATTCTGGTAATGAGGTGGTCTGTGTGTAGGTGGCAGCAGAAGTTGGAGTGAAATCACATACCTTACTCTCGGTTTTCATGTGAATTTAAAGTCTTTTGAAAAGTGGTCTTAAGAAATGAATGAAGTTGGGTGTTGTGGTGCATGCCTTTAATTCCAGCACTCTGGAAACAAAGACAGGATAAGCAACACCAGAATTGTGAGTTCAAAGTCAGCCTGCTTTACATAAAGTGGTCCAGGTTATCCAGGGTTACAGTGTGAAACTTTGTCTCAAAACCAAAAAAAAAAGGACATAACGAAGGAAAGAAAAAAAAGAGAAAGGAAGAAGGAAAGGAGGGGGGAGGGAGGGAAGACAGGAGGGAGGGGGAAGGAAAAGAGACCAAATCCTCAGCAACTCTGTGGAAGCTGGCCATGGCAGCGTGGCACCATAAGCCCAGTACTGGGAGGTAGACAGAGGAGAATCTCTGGGACTCCTGACAATCTAGTTTATCCAACACATCTATTCAGATTCAATGAAAGAGTCTCTAAATATTAGGTAGAAAGTGTTTGAAGAACTCATCCCAAATCAATATCAGCTTCTGCTCTCCACATATAAGTACATACACACCTGCAAGCACACCTGCATATACGTGAAACCACACATATGAATACACACACACAGATATCACTCCCACATATACAAAAATAAATAAATAAAAAACACACTCTGTCAAGAAATGTTGATTAGAAGAGACCAACAGGTCTTAAGTTTCCAAATACACACTCACAAAACCTTGGAACATACAACTTCAAAGACTGATCTAGTAGGGTTCTACTACACAAGTAAGGTGAACATTTCTGAGGCTTTCGAAAATGCACAATCAGAAGGAAATACTCCAAAATGTGTTAAAGTCCTGTTTCCTAGTGGCTCATTCCTAGGTAAGACTGGACTGTGTATTTATAATTTTATTTTTGAGGAAAATGTTGCACTGAAATTTTTTGAAGGAAAAAATGACATGCTTTCTAACCTTGCAGGCCTCCTCCCGTAAGTGAACTTGCAAGCAGAGAGACTGTAGTTGGCGTAATTTCTGCCGCAGCCATCAGAGCATTGTCTATTCCATTGTGGCAGGGAATGAGGAAGGTGGGTAGAGAATTTTGCCTGTTTTCTCCAAACACCAATAAACCTATAGTCAGATGAGTCTTCAGGTGAAATGTTTGTACCATCTATGCAGTGCAACTGTTGCCATCTTCAATGTATCAATAACTTGATTAATAATCTAACTATGTTAGCTAAAGTCATTGTGTTCCCCTGACCAATGCTGAATATTGACTTGTTAAAGATCTCACCCTCCCTTCTTTGGTTGGCATTTCTTCAAAATGAAGGTTGTTCTTTCAGGCACATGAGGTGATTGTTTTCTAGTCTTCTCCCCCACTGCATGTGCCTTTCACAAGCCTTGCACCAAGTCATATTAATCATGAGGAAACTTTAGGATTATAAACAGGTTAAAATGCCAAAACAGCCATATCCATGTTAATGGCCACGTGTGTTGTGCAATACAATGCTCTAAACTATCAAATCAGTCATGAATTAAATACTGTCAGGATGCAGGAAGAGTGAGTTTATCTTCCAGGCACTCTCACACTGGCTGTTATTTGGGGACTCTGAGAACTAAATCATCTCTGACTTAACTATATTTCAGCTGCTGCCACTGCTTTGTCTTCTGGGACCTTCTTGGACCTTATTAAAAGGAGATATCAGATAAAATATTTAATAAACATTGAAATATAATTGATATGGGACATTGAATTAAAAGTGAACTCCGATGGCACTTGCAGTCTGAAAGGGCAATGCAGAGACTGTGTTGGCAACCACCCATGGGTGGAGTTTGTGCCCTGCACAAAGCATGCAGCCTGCAGCCTCTTGCTGTCTCTTGGACCTTATTAAAAGGAGATATCAGATAAAATATTTAATAAACATTGAAATATAATTGATATGGGACATTGAATTAAAAGTGAACTCCGATGGCACTTGCAGTCTGAAAGGGCAATGCAGAGACTGTGTTGGCAACCACCCATGGGTGGAGTTTGTGCCCTGCACAAAGCATGCAGCCTGCAGCCTCTTGCTGTCTCTTGCCACCTTATTGTATGTGTATATGTTGCTGCATTTTCTCCTCAGTATAATGGAACCTCCTTCCAGCCCTCTACTTCCACAGCTGTATCACCTCACCCTCTTCTATTATTCACATTCCCTCTTCCTTGGAGAAAGCAACCTGCCTCTATCTCTTAACACCATTCTCCACAGCAACTTTGTTAAATCCAATGCATTCATTAACTCATTCAGCAAATACTAAACATCTATTATGTGATAATGACTATTTCAGCTGCTAGGAATAAAACATACTATTTCAGCTGCTAGGAATAAAACATTGAGCAAAGCATGCTTCCCATATTTCTGGAATTAGTCTGATGACAGATGGATAATAAAAATTTAAACAAGTGACTATATAGTATTTCAGGTGATGATAATCACTACAGAGAAAAAAATGAGAACAGATATGTAGAAGGAATAAGTGAGATTTCATAGAGATAACCAATGTGCCTTTCTTTCACTTAAAATATTCATATACTAATATGTAGGTACATAGAGATAAGGTTAAAGTGTTTTTAAATGCTCATAATAATAAATCATTTTAGAAAAATCAACCCATAAACTAAATTACAAGCATGCTCTCTAATGTGTTCTTAGCAAAATACTAAACCTTCAGGATAAGATGCACGAAATTATCAAGAGCAAAATCATATATTATAATCAGAAAACACCCAGTTAAGCAAAATTTAATGGATTTCTATAAAAAAAAATGTCTTTGAAGGTTCCTATTGTGATAGGACCATCTACAACCACAGTGACAAGAGTATCACACAGTGCTCTCAAATGTAGTGACCGTAAAAGCACTGACACCCAAAATAATCTCAAAATACCACACAAGAAAACATTGTTCTTAATGCATCTGTTATGTAAGCTCTGGCACTTATAATCCCAGCAGCAGAAAAATACTTCGCAAAGTTGGTGCCTCATCACTTTTATACATTAAAGTTCTTTCAACTATTTCTAGTGTTGTTGAAAAACCATAATGGTTTTTACAGAGAATTTGTTAATTACCATGCAAAGAAATAACAAGGAATTGAACCTTAAATTCCAGATAAATTTGGAATCAACAATGTCACAGGAGTTATCTACGTGAATTCACCACTGGATTATGAGACAAGAACCAGCTACGTGCTACGCGTGCAAGCAGATTCTTTGGAAGTAGTCCTAGCCAATCTCCGAGTTCCTTCAAAAAGTAAGTTACATTAAGAGTATGATAATATTTTGTGGTATTTTTGCTTGTTTTCTGATGATATGAATATGTGTGGAGTGAAGTTCTCAGGGAGAACATAGGAAGATCTTTAGCTGGAGAGAAATAATCATCTTGGCAGATCTTGGTGGAGGTGAGGCAATAGCATATGGCTTACAAGCAATGTATGAATATTATTGATAGTATTCCTTGTGTAATGTATAAGTTGATCAAATAAACTTCCTAACACCCCTGTGAAGCCCTGGATGAGTGTCTGACAATGCTGCAATGAATGCCTGACTACTGCGGACTGCCTGTGTAAGAACAGAGGAAAATCCATCTTAAAATTAATGACTAGGAGGGCGGGAAAGAGCCCCATCCAGTGATGTCTCAGATGCAGCTGGCTTATCATGGCCCTCGTGGCTTAGGACACCCCCATCGAGTGCCTCTCAAGCTCTGGGGGCACCTACTACCACACCACCCCCTGAAATGATTCTTTCTGGACCTCCTCCACTGGGCAAGCCCCTCCAAACCCCTGTTTTGATCTCTCATGTGTCACCCAGATCTCATTCCTCCATATGGTATGTTTGTTCTTCTACTCATGCCCCTCATGGATACACTGGCCCTCCATGACCCTCTCCTGATAGCAACCAGTAGGATCCCTCCCTCTGTCTAAATTCTCTCCAGGTCCACAAGTTCCACCTTGTGGCTTCCTTCAGGACTGCTTCCTCATGAATTGTCATCGTTTTTCTGACTCTTACATCCTCCCAGAATTTTCACTTCTTGTACTAATCAGAAATACTATAGTTCATAAGAGTTAACTTAACACACAAATCCCTCAGCAGACCCATTCCCACATCAATGGGATTTTTCCACAAGAGAGTTTTCTTCATTAAAAAGAAAATGTTGGTCCTAAGTATTGCACATACATAGAGAAAATAAAACTATACCATTTTTTAAAAGAAACTTTTGCTTTATGCTTTTGGTACAGAGCTTTGCATTTCCCATGAAATATCTGTATTTTTCAGAATACGAAATGTATTAATATAATACAAGCAATCCCATTCAATATAATTTAATGTAAATGGAACACAATAGGAGTTTACCTAATATACAGACACATACTTGTATGTGCCCTAGTGGGCATGCAGATGTGAGACCTATGACATATTCATCAGCCATTCCTCTCCAAAATGTGTGAAGTTTAAGGTAAATGTTCATTTGTTCAGTATCTGATGCTTTGAATATTGTTATTAACATTTCATATCTGAACTTTGTCTCTTGCTTAAAATATGGACTTGTTCATTTCCAACATAATTCCACTTATTAATAACTGTTAATGGCCTGTAATCAATCCATAGAACATTAGCTATGCAAATAGGAAGACCATTATGTAAATTAAGGTTAATTAATTGTCTAAAGGTTTTACTTTTCTACGAAATTAGCTATCCTAAGGATTTTAGCTATATTGTATGTCATATTAATAAAAGTAAGAATTTAATTCATTAAGGTTGTACTCTATTGTTATTACCAAATAATTATTAATAAAAAATCATTTCCAGGTAAATTTTACATTTTTATAAACAAATTTAAGGAATAAGTGAAGATTTAATGGATAAATGAAAATTAAAATAGAGTATCATAGAGTTTATTTCATAAATTCAACACTAGAAGGTTTCAAGAAAGTATGGATTAATTTTTTTCAGTTTTAAGGATCAAAGCAAGGCTCATTTTAAACATATAACTATTATACAAAATACCACAGTACAGCCTGATGTGTTACCTACTCAAAGCAACATTAAAATGTACCAGGTAGGAACTGGAGAGATCGCTCAGGGGTCAAGGGCTCTGGATTTACTTGCAGAAGACCAGTGTGTGGTTCCCTTAACCTACATGATGGCTCCCTGTCACCTGTAATTACAATTCCAGGGACTCTGATTCCCTGTCTGACCCCCACAGGTACTGCAGGCACGTTGTGCACATATATACATGACACCACTCACACATACACATAAAATAAAAATCCTTTTTTAATCCTGAGAAATAGTCTTTCTTCTCTAATTCCGACTACTTTGCATCCTATTACTTTAAAACTGGTCAGTTACACAGTATTCCATCTTAAATATTGTTATGTTAATCTCTTAAATATAATGCCAACACAGAACCCTCACCTCAAGAGGAATGAGAGATAGTGCATCCTTGAGACAAATGTGAGTGATGGTGACCTGGGAATATAAAATTCATGTTTCCTTGAAAGACATGCTCACTGTGGCAGTAGTCATATGAGCTTTTATTAGTTTAAGAGCAAAGAAAGCCATAAATCAAGGTATTTCCCAAATATATTTATGTGTAACGTTTGTAGGTGTGTTACAGCAAAGTGTGGGCATCTCTTACAAGCCTCAGATACTGTCTGATGACATTCTTAGCTTTGGGGTTTGTGACACAAAAAGAGACCACTTAATGAGCACAGGGATGTTAAGTTAGACACAGGAGAAGGCAAGGAATGATTGTCAAAGGGACTAAAATTAGTACATGATAATTTGGCTCTGGGTCTGCAAGAATCTAAATCTCTATAATCACAAAGTTCCAATCAGGCATTCTGACTTGTAGAATTTCAACACAGGTATGGTTTATTTCTGGAAACTTCAATTCATTGCAAATGTACTTACATCTTTCTGATACCATTGCTCCTTCCAAAAAAAATTAACAAAATATAATCAATACCAACATACATCCAGTCTATTCATATTAAACCATGATTTCATCTGAAGTTTACTTATGGCAATGAGTTAATGGATCTATCAAAGTCTCTTTTCATTATCTCCCGCCTTCCCTTGACATTTAGTCAGAAACAAAGTTTTTACTCCGCAGTTGTTGGTGACTAGACCACATCACCAAGGGCTTATTTCACATTTTTCTTTGACTAACTTATTTCTACTCAGTCAAGAGGTTTGGTCACATCCAGGCTTTCTTCCTTTTCAACAAATAACTCACAGTTTCTATTTTGCCTCTCCTTAGATAACAACTTTCACTCTCCTTGAGGGAAGCAGCCAGTGACAGTCACTTCCTAGTTCCACAATCTGTTCCTTTAATAACTTATTTTCTTATTCCCATGCAGAGAAACTTCTGCCTCTCAAATACTGATCACTCTGAGATTCATCTCCTAAATAAAAGTGATGGAAAAATTTTTCATTCTTTCTCTTTATGATAATGTTCTTTTATATTTTAAATAATGAGACACAGAAAACAAAAAAAATAATGAATTGATTAACCGTCATTTTTGGCTTCATGACCATGTGTTTCTTTGTAAGGGCTATGTCAGTCCTGTCACAGCCCAGCATCAGAACAGCACAGAGCAAAGGGCACCCATCTCCATAAAACAGTTTATATAGTAACTCTCTACTCCAGCTTGCCCAACTTTTCACTCATATGCTTTAAATTTTTCATCCAGGACTCATATGTTTTTCCCATATGTACATTTTCCCTGATATATGTGGATATATATATACATATATATATACACACACACACACACACATATTACAAAAAAATATATATAT